TTTTCAAAGTCCCTTTGTTCAGTTTTAAATTAATTTGAATAGGTAGTTAAACCTATATCTCAATTACCTAATTAATTATATTAATTGATGGGACCTTATTGTTTTAAACGTTTATTGACAAAGTCAGGTGGAATTAATAATTTTATTACTTGTTTCTATAATCGCATTTATAAATTAGCATAGAATTATTATTAATTGAAAGCTATTATTTTGTACTACTAATGGATGCTAAAATTAATGGGCGTAATTATCGGCTAATGGAACTGCAATTCAATTTGTAATAATTTCAAATAATTTGTAGAAGAAGCGCTGTCGATAATTTTAATACAAATGCATAGATAGAAATTTGGCTACCTTATTAGGTAAAACTATAAGCTTTCCTCTTATTTTGTAAATTTTAGGTATTTCTGTAGTAAAAAGGTCGAAAAAGTTGATTTGAAATTTTTCAGCAATATCTGCAATATTTGAATATTTTGAATGTTGTCCTGAAGTGGTTGTAGGGCAAGATTTATTTGGGACGTGTGATTAGTGCCCTGAAAAAAGCTCACATACTTATATGATTATTTGTGAAGAACTAGCTTTTGCTTATGGCTTTGCCCGCGTGATTAAGTTCGCCTTATGTACAAATTTATTTTGGCATTAAAGTTTAAATAAATAAATAAATTTTGTCTGTCACAGAAAAACTTGATCACACGCGTCCCTGTTTCAAAAACCGGGATAAAACTGTCCTATGTCCATTTCCTGGACTCAAAATATTTCTATACAGCATCAAAATCGGTCCAGTGTTTTAGACTTTATTTATTTATTTATAGATAAAGGTACACCAACAGCAATACACATTTAAGACTTGAAAGAATAACAGACAGAGTTACTTTCGCATTTATAGATAGTATTGACACCCGTATTCACAAACGATGCTTGCTTAAGGCGATAGGTGAGGCAAAACTGCAAAATAGACCTCTCTTTGAATCCCTACTCCTCCTAAATGGATGATCCAAACAATAAAAAAAAATATGTGTGAGATGTATAATATCTTAAACTAAAAAATTGTTGTTCGTTTTTTTTGTTACAACTATTAGTTTTGACAGGAAAAATTCTTAACTTTCTTCTAATTTCACCAAAGAAATTTCCTACTACTCCTAAACGGCTGGTGCGATTTTAATGATTCTTTCACCAAATGATAGAGAATTTAATTATCTAAAAAATTGTTGTTCATTTTTTTTCAAAAATAATGTATTACGTGTCATACATTCAAAATACCCTGTAATTTCCACACGCGGGCCGCGCGAATGCGGGAGCTCAGTCTTTCACTAGCGTTCGCACGGGGAGGCTGTGTCGCACATCGGCACGCTCCGCTTCTTTGTTTTTCTATAAAGAATTTATAGCGCAGATGGTACACTCGGTACTCATAGTAGTCCGGCGGCTGAATGAAAGTGATCTAAGTACTTACTACGTCATTTTAAATATGTATAGAGGCGCGTTGTCTCGCTCTAATGCTCAAGGTCGTTCGGCCATGTAATCGCCTTAAGCGAAGCAGTAAATCGGACGCAGAGCGTTGAATAGAGCTCTGTGATTGGTTCGTGTGTCACCCTGTGTGTTCACGCGCACTGTGAGACCTCATGTAATGCTTGTTAATACAGGCGTTTGTGTAGTAGGTACTTGAGATTAGTATTGGGATTTTTGTTCTAATCTTTGAAACAATACCTGAGTATTAAAATAACCTTGTATTGGATGGTCGAAAAACCCAGCAAAGTTAAGCACAAATTATTAGGTTTTCGTAACAATAAGAGGAAAACCCCGTCCGTTGATCATCGGTTAGATCACTGATGGCATTACGATGGCCACAAACGTGACCTGTTTAAGGCGATAGGTGAGGCAAAACTGCAAAATAGACCTCTCTTTGAATCCCTACTCCTCCTAAATGGATGATCCAAACAATAAAAAAAAATATGTGTGAGATGTATAATATCTTAAACTAAAAAATTGTTGTTCGTTTTTTTTGTTACAACTATTAGTTTTGACAGGAAAAATTCTTAACTTTCTTCTAATTTCACCAAAGAAATTTCCTACTACTCCTAAACGGCTGGTGCGATTTTAATGATTCTTTCACCAAATGATAGAGAATTTAATTATCTAAAAAATTGTTGTTCATTTTTTTTCAAAAATAATGTATTACGTGTCATACATTCAAAATACCCTGTAATTTCCACACGCGGGCCGCGCGAATGCGGGAGCTCAGTCTTTCACTAGCGTTCGCACGGGGAGGCTGTGTCGCACATCGGCACGCTCCGCTTCTTTGTTTTTCTATAAAGAATTTATAGCGCAGATGGTACACTCGGTACTCATAGTAGTCCGGCGGCTGAATGAAAGTGATCTAAGTACTTACTACGTCATTTTAAATATGTATAGGTATTATAAAATGTTTAAGATAATTTAAATACACAGGTATACAAGATGCTGATTATCTATTTTTTCTAGATTTATTTGTCTGAATATCTATTTATTCTAGATTTATTATATACTTCGAGATATAGATAGGTATTTTTTTCTTATGTATTAGTAGGTAATAATATAAAACAACGCACTTAGGTATAGGAAATCACAAGACAACAAAAAATACCTACAAAGGATTATTTAAATTCTGTAATTAACAAAACCGTATTTTATTAATTTCTTGGAAACTATCACATCACTTTTGTGCATTTTTGCGTTTCGATTGGTAATTAATCTACAGGGTACCCCGTTTGGTATATTGGTTTTGGTTGGTATGAGTTTTTTTTATCTCATTGGTCCCCACAAAAAATCGGATTTTTTCCCAGGGAATTTTCGATACATCCAGCTCAATCATCTCGTCGCGAATAAGGTTAGGTAAATTGATAGGTACCACCTATTTCGATCCCTGATAATAATATATAAAATATACAGGTGTTTGGTAGAACGTTAGACAAACTTCGTATGTAAGGTCATTTTGAATAAAGGTTCGCCCATTTGACCCTAAATGAGCTACTTTTTTATTGATATTTTTATAATTATTAATTTTTTTTCGAAATTTGACCTAAAACTGCTTCTTTTTTTGTCGCGTTTTCAACCGATTTTTTTATTTGGTATGAATATCCAATATGTCATTACTCTAATAAAACATTTTATATCCAGATAATGATTGGATAGCTAATTACGAGCAGCCAAAGTTTAACAAAAGTATAAAACACGATAAAAAACTTAACTTGAAATTGATTAAAAAAATGAAATGTGTGTTAGTAGATTGTTTTTAAGATCATTAAAAACATCTAATTATCTCTTCTTTCCAACGATAATAACTAAATATCACTTGTAGTAATTAGATATTGGATTTCTACAAAAATTCAAAGTTTAGTGATGAAAATGTGAAAATAATACAAAAAATTATCCATCAAAAGTTTCTTCAAACATCTCCATCTTTTCTGATATACTGTTTTTCATAGCTTTTTTATATGATTTATTTAAAAATCAAATCAAAAATAATAACCGCATAGAAAAATAAGTCTGTTTTTGTATGTGGCTTGATTTTTCGGCTGCCTATGATGCAGCCGTGATCACAAGCAGACTGGCCAGCTGGCGGAATTGTCCGTTCGGGTGGGCTTAAATATTTTAAACTACCCTCATATTGTCATAATGTTACATTGTAGTGGCGTTACCTCGACACACAGTATTCGTATTCGTACTTGACATGTAACTCATATAAAAATGTCGCTCAATCCGTGTTTATCTATTTTAGTTGAAATGGAACACAAAAATGTAAAATCTTATTTTTCTCTCGATTTTACCAAAAAATAATAACGGAGAAAGTAAAGTCTTAAATTGTATTCGATGATCAAAAATATTTTATTCAATGTTGACCGATATTTGACCAATATTTTGAATACCTGCACAGACAGACATTTACATTTAGGTAGGTACTCGTACACACACTTAAAAACTGTTTAGAAGCTCACATAGACACACGAATATCGTCAGCCTAACTTTCAAACTGCTTAGGTATGTCCCTTTTTGCAAACTTTACAGGAGGAAATAACCGTTTATTTTTCATAGTTATGGTACCTACTAATTAAAGTATAATGATGTCTAATTGAAATATAATCATTTATTTCAATTTTGTTTCAGTTTGAAAATATGCTGACGATAATTATTATTATTCTGTATAATGATTTATTTTCTTTTTTAAATTCTGTTTTGAAACACAAAATAAGCATCGCAATTTTTTTCTATCTGCGTAAATTAAAATCGAGTTAACATTCCCGTAGGCAGTTATGTTAGAATTGGCAGCGCTTCGCATCTGTATTCTGAGCGCACTTTGGTATCGGGCAGAAGCGCGGGCGCGCGGCGAGAGGCGCGTTGTCTCGCTCTAATGCTCAAGGTCGTTCGGCCATGTAATCGCCTTAATGCCATACAGCGTGGACAACACGTGACATACAGGGTGTATATCAGAAATTATGGGATGTACTTAAACCATTTGTCCCGATGCAGTGGTGTTAAAGTTATACTGGGACTTGAAATAGTGCTTTTTAAAAGCCTACTTACACAAATTATGAGTTTTTATGTACAAGATTAAGTAGGTTCTTTAAAAGTAAGTAGTAAGGTTGGTAATATCTTGGTAATTACAGATTTAAATATTAAATATAAAAACAAGTAGGTCATTGAATTTCAATTTTAAGCCAGAATATGCGTGAGTAGGTATGTGTTTGCGTTACTGTGTAATTGGAGCTTTTTAAACGGAACTGAAAACTGTATTCATCCATTTCACGTTAATAACGTGTATGGATTAATTAAATAAAATATTTATAAAGTAGCATTTTCGTTAAATATCATTATTTAACGACACCGCAAAACTATGATTATAACTATCGTAACTAATCTCGTTTTAAGACTGGCAATATAATTTTTTTTTAGATATAACAAATAACTAGTTTTAAAGTATGCTTCAGTTGGGAGTGGGTTGGTAAAGACATATTAAAAAATATAAATCGGTTTTGTTCATGCCTGTATTTACGATCACAGTTTTAGAGCACATGTTTATACAATATTTGGTACAAAATTAATTATTATTTAAAATTAATACCTATTTACAGTAAAACTTCTTGTTTTGCCCAAGATCAAATTACGTATTACAATTTTGGTCCCTAAACAGTTTGGATTTATTTGTTTTGATAATCCAAACACACCCTGTATAGTATTACACAATATTTCTTCGATTCTAAAAATAATTACAATAAATATGTACAAGTTACAGATTAATAATAATAATAACACTAATTTCCAGTCATTTTTAATAACCAAAAGTGGTCATTAGGCATTGCGAGAATGCAATTTGCAAATTATTTCTGACAAAATTGCTTGATGATGTAATACCTAATTACTAAAATGACATAATAATCCAGTTTTAGCGCTAGTAATATTAGTATTCAGAAAAGTTAGACATTAATAACTGGTTTAGAGCTAAACTCAGTGTTTGAGCTATGGGGCGTGGCACGGGAGGGGTGACATTGACATAATTATTATGACGTTACAGACCATACAAATCAAGATCTGAAGTTTCGTTAAAGTATGACGGCACAAAGACATCCTCCCGTGCCCGCTCCCATGTCTCAGGCACTGACACAGACCTATAATTTAACTTACATTGTATATTATGTCACAGAAACTAGATACAAAGCAAAAAGCAACATCTATTCTCTGATGTAAGTAACAGAACATCAGATTTTGTAAATTTCACTAATCACAACCACAAAAGGTGTTCTATGTGCTTTGCTTTATGTGGCTAATAATTCCAAAGCACGTGTCTTAATGTTGTCTGAATATATTAATAAATTAATTAAACCTAATAACAAATTATCTACACACGATTGCATATTAAAACTAATTACAATATTAAAGTATATGTACAGCAGACCTATCTACAATGTCTTATCTAGGTACATTTAGCTTCTAATGTATAATCTCGAACACCAATAAACCGTAAGTACAGATATAATGAATTAATTACATCTCAGTGCGATGGAAAATTTATGGATTAGAATCATGACTAATCTCAAAACTTTATGAGGTTTACTTACGACTATTAGATACTTAAGTACTCATTTTATATACATTTTCTAATCTAGATACTTCACTGAGAATATAATTTGAGTTCAAGCCGGCCGTAGACCCTTGAGCTTAAACCAAACGTCTCCATCATCCAAGTAAATGAAGAAGTTCATCAACAACTTTTAATTTTCTAACACTTGTGACACAAACAAAAACCAGATTGTCATCACTCGTAAAAGTCACATAAATACAATCTTGTATTATCAAAATGATGTCGACATTATTAGGTTTTCACAAGATCAAACCTATCATCGAAATTATCACATCAAATCACGTTAGCCAACCACAATATTAGCAACATAGCTATTTTTTACCTGCTAATTTTCGCATCAAAATTTTCCTGTTACGTAAACCTAATCTATCAGTCCTTATCAACGCACATTGTCCCGATCTTCACCTTTCCGGTGGGACACGATCCACCATCGAAGTTCGCTCGGTCATCCACATCTGGCGTTATCGCTATCACCACCATCTCTGTCACTACCTTTTCCGTCACATTGGAATAGCCCCACACCCACTTCTCTTCATCTTCGTCAGACCCTTCGTTGATCCTTCCCTCTTGGGCCACTCTACCTTCATTTAAACCAGGTCTTGCCGAACTACTGTTAGATGGACTGCCGTTATGATTCACGTCACTAACGGTTTGTCCATTCTGGTCATCGTTGACATTTGACCTATACTCAGGAGTAGGTCTAGGCGGCTGATTGTTGTTATCATACTGTGTGTTTATAAACGCTTTGCTATCCTGCGGATTGTTTGGATAATTCGGTACATTTACACTTGGCACGAACTGATTGTTAGGACTTGGAGTTGTAAGTTGCTTGTTAGTATTTCTCTGGTTTTGATTGAAATCCTGATTATCTGGCAACGGATTGTTTTGCATAACATTTGTAGCATTATTCCCTCGGTGTCTATTTTTATGAGAGTGTTTCCGTTTATGTGTTGGTGGATTATTTGGTTGTGGAGTAACAAATTCACCATTCCTTTCATTTCCACTATCGAACTGATTCACGTTCGGAGTCACTGCACCGTTTCGATTGTCCTCCATTCGGTTAAGGTTACTCGTTAACATTTCCGTGTTGGATTCCATGATTCTTTCAAACTTTGGGCCGGTTTCTCCTCTCACATCCCTTGGTATGTCCTGGTTAGGATTAAAAAACTGGTTGGCAGCTGCATTTATGCGCGAGTTGAAGCTGAGTGCACGGTCCACATATGGCTCTACAAACACTGGTTCCACTACAGGCACAAATTGGTATTGTCTTTGGAAGTTTTGGGGGAAAAATTGTGGCCTCGCAGTCACTGAGACCGAGAGCGTTAATAAGATTACTTTGTAACACATTTTGTTCGTATAAATTCACATGGCACGGGGATACTAGCGCACGCGCCGACCGCCGGCGACAGACTGCCTCGGCCACGCTTCTGTTTACTTGTATATCGCGATTGAGTGATTAATATTATGACTGGGGCAATTAAGCTTAAGGAAGTTTTTGCAGGTGAGCAAAGATTAGCTTTGTAAGCAGGAAATATGATAGATGATGGGAAAAAAAGTTTAATGATGATGCGGGTAAAAATATTCGCACTTTTTTACTAGGTTTGCTTTATTTGGGATTTGACGCATCATGCCTAATATTACATTTATTAGTGTTTGCTACTATTAATAGCTTTTCTTTGGACTTTGAATGATTGGTAAATATTACCTTCGTGGTTAATTGGTGACTAACCTCTTATTCATTCTAAAAATAGCTCTACAAAGACCGTTTGGAACTTAAACACTGCTTGGTTTACTGTCGTTACAGAGAAATTAAAATCTTACAGGTTTACACTGCAGTATTTGCATTTGGATTTTTATAAATGAGTTGGGTAAGACTCTACCGAAAAAGAAAGTGTAAACATAAATTAGATTACCTGTTGTATGTTTGTTTAACTTAATGTCGTCACCAGTATTTTTGACTCTTACTTATTTATTACGCGACCCGAACCTTTGACGTCAAGCCAGTCCTTCAGGAGAACGATACCAAATAAAACAATTTTAAAATGTTGGAATGGAAAAATATCAGTTCGTAAGTGACAAATAAAAGAATATTCTAGTAATAATATTGCGCCGAGGGCTGTTGACGATTCGAGCGTGTCCCAGTATACTAATGTGCCGTTTACACCCACCGACTCTACGATTAAAACTTTATTAATAAAACATTAATGTGTAGAGTTGTAGATACATGCGTGCTGAACGTTGTGTACTTGTGTACATTTTTATCATATCAAATGATCTTAAGATAGCAGCAGTGATGTTTACTGTATCCAAGTTGATACAAATTTTAATGAAAAGTCATAATTTATTTACATTCTGTCACTTATTGTTCTTGAAACGTTGGACCCTAATTTTCTTGCCAAAATGGTATGATTAGCTTACATATTAGATATACATACGTACTATGTAAAAGTGGTATAAGAACGATCTTTGTTTGTATTTATTTTTTCATAATTAGTTGTTAAACTTAACTTAAATATTTGATCCAATTTTAAACTGGAACTTTCACAGTTACAAAAGTTAGGTTCGTTCGTTTCAGCCAAATGACGTCCACTGCTGGACAAAGGCCTCCCCCAAGGTTTTCCACAATGAACGGTCCTGCGCTGCCCGCATCCAGGCTCTTCCCGTTAGGTTAGGTATGGTATTTTAATTTTAGGACTAATTCGAGTCGGAACTTCGGAAGGTATGAAATACATTTTAGGCTTACATATTGTATTTCTCTCTTTTTAACTGAAGCGAGCAGTTTTAATTGAAAGTGTGTTTCGGTGTTAAATCAATACGTGTATTCGTAGTAAATCAGAGATTTTTCTCGTTTAGCGTGGATCAGTTTCAAATGGAGTTTTAGATAGTTCTGCTCGCATTTCATAAATGGATTTTATTTTAGTGAAAAGCTCGTGTATCTCGCCACTGACATTGGATCACGCACTCTACTGTGAGTGGGCGTTTAATTGTCAGAGCTTTTATTTTAGTAAGTGATGATGGGAGCTTTTGACAATGCCTTTTTAATTACGGTTCTTAAATCTAGTCTAAAATTATAACACACCACTGATCCTAAGTAAAACCTTGACATTGATTTTCATACTCTACCTAATGTACTAAAATATACCTATTTTAAATATTACGAATTCTCAGTATTGCAGTGTTTAACAAAGTTGGATTTTGGACTTCAGTTCATCATTCATTCATATCCACGGATGATGAAAAATATCACTTTTCTAGAAGAAGGCAGGTATTTGTTTGACCGCATGTATAAACCTTCCATGAAACTTGTTTGTATTATTTGCCGAGAGATGTCACTGCTCTTTGAGACGCGTAAAGCTGTACCGCGGTGTCCAGATTTTTTTCCCTGGCTTTATATACCTGGAGGATTTTGACATAGTGAACCACTGAGAACTGAGAACTATTGACAACCTTTCGTTCGTTTCAGCCGAAAGACGTCCACTGTTTCTACTGACGACCCCCAAGGCAGTATTAATATAGCTAACTCATTCTTCGCCAACATAGGGAAAAAACTTGCGGAAAAATGTATCCCCTCTTCTAACGCCACACATCTCATTCATACATTCAGGGACAGCTCACCTTCCAACTCACTAGTCATACTACCCACTAATCCGGATGAAGTTAAGCTATTAATAAGTGGGCTAAAATCAAGTGGTGCAGTTGGCTCAGACCAAATCTCCACTAATATATTAAAAAAGTTCGGACATCAACTTGCTGAGCCGATTGCACATATTTGTAATCTAGCAATTACATCAGGGGTCTTTCCGAGTGCCTTCAAAACTGCGATAATCAAGCCCATACATAAAGGGGGGGATAGAGGCCGTGTTGATAACTTCAGGCCAATCGCAATACTTCCTGCAATGTCTAAAATCCTTGAACGCTTGATGAACAGACACCTAATAAACTTTTTTAGAAAATAACTACCTTCTTTCTACCCAACAATATGGCTTTCGGCAAGGGAAATCTACCAACGATGCTGTCCACGACTTAACAAATCACATAATTACCAGTCTGGATAGGAAGGAAAAGTGTCTGACTATTTTCCTTGACCTCGCCAAAGCGTTTGACACGGTTTCTATCCCCCACCTGCTGAGAAAGCTTGAGAGAATCGGGGTAAGAGGAACTCCTCTCAAACTATTTACAAGCTATCTCACCCAAAGAAAACATAGAGTCAGGATAGATGACCGATTGAGCGATGAATTAGAGGTGTCTTTTGGTATTCCCCAGGGTAGCATAAATGGGCCAACCCTCTTCTTAACCTACATAAATGGACTCTGTAATCTTGAGTTAATCAAGGGGAAAATTTTTACTTTCGCAGACGACACTGCCCTCTTCTTCAGCGGGGATAGTTGGGAGGAGGTTTTTTCCGAGGCTCAACAGGGACTCGGCGTAGTCACTGACTGGCTACGGAATAACATCCTGACTTTGAACACCTCCAAAACCAAGTACATCACCTTCGCACACAAGACTCACTTGCTTCCCCCCGCCGCTCTATCTATTACTGCCCACACTTGTCCACCTGGAAACACTTTTTGTTCGTGTCCTACCCTAGAAAGAGTCGAGACATTGAAGTATCTTGGGATTACCCTGGATCAAACCCTTTCCTTCAAACCGCATGTACAGATTCTCACGTCTCGACTCCGTAAACTCATATATGTTTTCAAGACCCTTAGACACGCAGCTAATCGGGGAACTATCGGGATGGTCTACCGAGCTCTCTGCCAATCAATCTTGGATTATTGTATCACCTCCTGGGGTGGCTCAAACAAAACTATCATGATCCACTTGGAGAGAGCTCAAAGGGCTGTTCTGAAAGTCGGTGCAGGCCTTCCTTTGCGCTTTCCTACAGTGACTCTTTATCAGAAATGGGACGTCCTCACAGTCAGACAGTCCTTCATACTACAAACAGTATTAAAACAACATTCCGAAGTGGTATATAGCCCGAGCCTACACGAGGGTAAGCGCAGGAAAGGCAAAGTGTGTAAAGCAGTACCACTAAATTCCCAACATGCTCACCAATACTTCTGTTTCCTTGGTCCCTATATCTACAACAAGCTTAACAGTACTTTGTCTTTATATCCTCTCCACAAACTAGAATGCAAGAAGACTGTTACGCAATGGTTAAAAAATCTGGATTATAACACTACAGAAACCTTATTACGACCTTTACTCTAACTGTAAACTATGCACTAACTTTTAAACTAGCCTATCATAACATAAATTAATATTCTAACCAACTATCCAATTATCAACTACATAAATTAATAAAAATTGAATTAGCTAGTTAATCTTACTTTTCCTTACCTAACTAATCTAATATAAAATCTAATATTTACATCTAATAAATAATAAATCTAATATCTACATTTTATCACACACTTAAAATGTTAGATAAATAGCATTTTGAAATTATGCAATTAATTCTATTTTTTGAATCGGAATTCATTATTATACTTAGCGATAACAAATTGAATTGCGAATAATAACAATTAATGTTAAACCAGTATGTAAATTATTTACCTAGGATAATTATGAATAATGTTTGTTGGCTTTTAACTTGGATTTGTAACTTATCCAATGCATGATTTACTTACAATAGGAATGATGTTTGTTTTAATTATTGAAATTTTTATTATTTTAAACAAATTTTACTCTCAAACAATTTATTTTATATTTTATAATTATACATACACTCGCATGTTTGGCTTTTCACTTAGGATTGTAACTTATCCAATGTACCTATGATTTTATTGTTTTTAATATTTTATTGTTTGTCTGCTAGCACATCACCTTATGTACCTAAGAGAGGTACTATGCAAACAACCTGGGGGTGGAGCACTGGTGACCTGAAATACGGGTTTCTCTGAAACCTATATCAGGCACCAGTCTCTCACACACAAGATGCGTCAAATATGTAATACTCATTGTAAGAATGTAATTTTTGTATGTGAGAGAAATAAATATGATTTTATTATTATTATTATTACTGCTGGACAAAGGCCTCCCCCAAGGATTTCCACAAAGACCGGTCCTGCGCTGCTTGCATCAAGGTACTTCCCGCGACCCTCACCAGATCGTCGGTCCACCTAGTGGGAGGCCTGCCCACGCTACGTCTTCCAGCTCGTGGTCGCCACTCAAGAACTTTCCTGCCCCAGCGGCCATCAGCTCTTCGAGCTATGTGCCCCGCCCACTGCCACTTGATTTTAGCGATTCTGCGGGCTATGTCAGTCACTCTGGTTCTCCTACAGATCTCCTCATTTCTGATTCGATCACGCAGGGAAACTCCGAGCATGACAACCTTTGTCAAGCATTAAATTGTCACCTACATATTGACGTCTTATTTATACCTAGATAAGAGTCCCTTAAGTGCGCCGAGAGTATCC